GCAAGTTCACCTAGAGGGAAAACTAATTGGAATGACGACAGGAACTACATCTTAGGGCATTTTTACGCCCTAAGATGTAGTCCAGTAGACTCTGTTCAATTGGAGGCCAAAATTGCGACATTTGTTACATTTTCAGCTGGTGAGATTCTCTTTCACACTGCACTGTGTCAAACAAACCAAATGCTTTGAAAAACCTGTTCTCCTCCTTACCTTTGGTGGCGCTGCACTAAGAACCACTGAAGCAAACCACAACTAAACCCCTGAAGAAGACACTGAGCGCAACTTCCTTCTTCACAAAACGTAAACAAAATGAGTGGCGTCAGATTTTAGTTTTTGGAGGATTTCTCTTTAGTCTTTAGCAAAAGACTACAAACCGTTTTTACCATTTTACGTGACTTGTGGTTGTATTTACCCAGAATGCCGTGCACTGTAGTTTGTTTGTTTTTTTTTGTTTTTTGGTCCGCATCAGAGTTGATTGTGCATTCACACCTGCCCAAACAAACCGGACTTTCTAGGCAAATAAACTAGAGTTCGATTAAAGCGGACAAAACAAGGCCGGTGTGAATACACCCTTACACTCTTCATGCGTCAGCTAAGTGAGGCCAAGTCTGTACAACTGGAGAAACATCCATTAGGTACAATTAGAGTCACTGGGGGTTAAATCTCCTAGAAGAACAGAGTAAGCCTTGTGTCTGCTGGACCAAGATTCAGAGAGGACCACATGGAACTGCTTCATCTGGTGTTTTAGTATGTATAACAATGTAATCAACAGCCAAACCTGAATATATTAAATCCCACACCTGAAGCGTTTTTCTGAAATAGTATTTTAGACCAGAACAATAATCCAAAGCAAACCCAGACTGAAACCCATCACCATTCAGAAATAACTGAATACATATCAGAACGCCAACACTGTACAGAAGGCCTCATCAGGAATTCATTCAGGCTGAGGTGGCAAATAAAGTCAGACAGTGGATGACGGCTTCATGTCATTTATGCCAAATGACATGTTGCTGGTTGTATTTACTGTGTTTTAACTTATAGGTATGGTGCCCAAAATAAGTAAAACCTCAGACACAAGTCACTTTGTGAGGCAAATATTTAACTTCATCACCGACACTTGGCTGAAATTAAAGTAGAGCAGCAATTTCCAGTTTGTTCAGTTGAGCTGTGAATACAGCACTAACCCTGATCAGGATGCCAAACATTTATGTGGAAGAACAAAGAGAGGGAACTCAGCAGTGTTTAACTTACAGGAAAGAGTGACACTGACTGATATGAAATCTATATCCCGGTGTCACATCTGCTTATTTTACAGAAGAGAGGCAGGAAGCAGAACATCATCATTACTATTATTAACATAATAAAAAAAAAGAGTTAGACATAATGTGTAAAGTTTGAAAAAAGTAATATAGCAAACACAGCAAATGGGTCAGAAGAGGATGAAATTTGACCTTCTGGTCTTTGTGCAAAACTACGTGTTGTTTCCAGACAAACACTGCGTGACACTCTGAACACACCATTCATGGTGGTGGGAGTATCATGCTGTGGAGAGACTTTTCTTTGGCAGGGACAGAACTGACTGGGGAAATGAATGGAGATAAATACAAAAAAACAAAATAAAAAGAAAACAAAACACTGGAATAAAAAACTGCTAGATAGTTTGGGATCACCTTCCAACAGAGCAACAGTCCAAAACACAGAGTCAGAGCTGCAATAGTTTAAAACCAATGGTAACCTAAATTCAATAAAGAATCTGTTAAAAATGGTATCAATATCCACTCTCCATAAAGTCAAAGGGAGCCTGTGTTAGTTTGCAACAATGGATTTGCAAAAATGTAAATTTCTAGTTGTGCAGACTAGATGTTGGTCTACAAAATGCTGACTCAGTGGGGCTAGATACTGATGAGTGCCAGACTTTTTTTTTTTTTTTTTTACATATTTTTCTTTGTAAAAATTATCAGAAACCTCTTCCTTCCACTTCAACTATGTGTCATGGGGTCTATCAAATAAAATGTTATTGTGACTAAAGACAAAATGTTCAGTTTCTCAGGGGGGTTTGTAAACTTCTGCAAGACAATGTTGTGCTCTTTCATTGCAGAACTGTCACAAGGCCAACATGCAGAGTTTTTCAGCTGTGACAGGAGGGAAGCAGTTACATGCTGTGCAGAAAAGTCCCAACAATTCAAACGTCAAGTGAAGAGATGAAGGGGAAGTATATGCAAAGTAAAAAAAAAAAAAAAAAACATTTTAAAATAGTATGCTAGGAAATGACGTCCAGTAAACTGGTGGAGACCTGTTTCAGACCAAAGGTCTGGTAACGAGTCAAATTATTGCCGAGTCCCAGGAAAGCCATTTTACTCTGTTTACTTCTTTACACAAAGGCATATAATAATAAAAAATAAAAAAAACAGGGCAGAACAGATGTCGGGGGATAAATATATGCCATGGCAACAGCAGCAAATGTAACCATTCAGACTGACGCAAGCCAGGAGAGCCGAACGTTTTTACATTTTCTACACTTAAAAAACAGAAGAAGAAGGAAGTCTCACCTCCTCGTCCACCGTTCCTGGCCGACCCTCGGTTATGCGAGTCTTCCCAGTATCTTCCCACACATCCTCCCATGGTTGGAGGTCTGCGCTCTCTCTCCACGGGGTTTTTACTTGATGAACAGGGGGGTCATAGCGGACCAGGACGACGAACTAAGTCCGACACGGAGGGAGGCAGGTGGCAGGTAGAACGTTCTGACCCCGATATTTCATCCGTATCCACAATGTGGATACCCAGTGAAGGCGTTTCAAAGCTCGCAGCAGATTTTTAAAGTCAGTTTGAGCGCTTTCACTACTTATAAGCGAACCGTTTATATGTTTAAACTTCAACAACCCAAGATGAACTGTTATTTTAGAATGCAAGAACCAATGTGCTTATATTCCAGCTAACATTGACAATTAAAGATAGTTGCGAAAGGGTCGCAATGCGCAGCTTTCACGCTAACAAGCTAACCGAGCTAACTAGTTAGCCACCACAACATCAGTAAACACAAACTTCAGCTAACCAACATCATTTCCCCGCTTGCTGGAAGTCCCACAAGTGCGAGGGAGGTAGTTTAGATTCCCCCCAGAAGCTCGGAGAGAAGAGGCACTGTTGTCCCCAGAAGCTGTCTCAAACGCAGCACGTCTTTAAACATCGAAAACGTCTCTTCTCGCTGGTAAAAGGTGACTTGAAGCGGTGAGCTAACGCCACCGAACTTTTCTGGAACGCATGCGCACGAGCGCGCAGGTGGGTTCATTTTTAAAGGTAACCGATGTTTCCCTTCACTCTTGAACGAACAGCAATTTTGGTCACACCCTGCTTTCACTTTGTTAACTATATTTATTCTACAGTTCGGAAGAAATAAAAAGAAAACGAAAAAAAAATGAAGTAATTTTACTTAGTTTCTTTTTTGTTTTCTTTTAATCAATTTGACACTTCCATTGTACATGAACTCAAAAGGAAATGGTGAAAGTTTAGTCTATTTATACATAGCGAACAGAAAAAAAGAGATAAATATAGATAAGTTAAGGAAATTAATACGAAGCTTCTCTAAAATCTCATTTTGCTTTGCATTATTTTCTTCAGTTTACCTAAGATTTAGATTCTTCAGAGTTGTTACCACGGTCAGGTTAAATGGGCCATTTGAAACATTTTTAGTAATCCAATATTCATTTCGATTCTGTTTCTGTAAACCTGAGCTCAGTTCATATAATGCTAAAGGCTTAGGAAAGGTTTATTATAAAACACTATAAACTTTATGTCCAGGATGAATTTAATTCAGTTTGTTTGGGGAGGAGGTCATTTGGTTTTTGAGCTTCTGACAATTATTTTTACCAGCTCAGGAAATATCAGCAAAATTACTAAATTAGCCTTAAATTATGAATGCACTGGGTGAATTCCAGTTCTCTTCGAGGCCCAGGCCAGCAGGGGGCTCAATGAGGCAAAGACTTACTCAAATCAATTGAAAAATACTTTATCCCAAAAGGAATTTTAATGTTGGTATACCACATCATCTTTAAAGTTTCTTCAGAGTTGTCGTGGATGGGAATGCTGCTAGGAAGGATCTCCTGTAGCAGTCAGTCTTGCAGTGACCATGAAGAAGCCTCTGACTGAAGACTTTTGCTGTATAACAGTTGCATGACTGTCATGACCTGCTAACATGTTAATATTCAGGGAGCACAGACAATATTCCACAGGACTGCTAATCCACTTCATTTCATCTAACAGATACGATTTCATATTTTTGACTTATTTGTCACATAGAAACAGAATCTGATATTTATTTTCTTTATTTTGTTATTCTTTAACGTGACCTGTCCAGCAGTGTAGCACTCAGTTATTGTCTGAGTGCCAAAGAGAAGCCAAATAGATTTCCTTTCACAAGTGGAGCATTACGGCTTTTGCTATAACGCTCCACTTGCATATATAATAAATTAGAACAAGCGTTCCAACGAGTTTCGTTTGTACTGAAAAGTACCTTTTGAAAACTGACAACCTCTTGGCAGGTATTAAACATAATTTTCATTAAGACCACATTACTGTAACAAAATTGGTGTGATGTAATATTCTAATTTTAAATGGCATGCTATTATTAAGTGTAAGTGGAAAACCACCTTTGTGTAAAATAATGTGTTTCACTTAGTGATCAAGTTCCTGAAATAAACTGAACTTCGAGTTTCCAATAATATTTTAATCTATAAAGTTATAAATTATGGAATTTTTTTTTTACTCGCAATGGCGGAAAGGGGCTTCCATACTTTTTCCACTAAGCATGTTTGGAATCCGGATAGTACGTGAATGCATCACTCCTTTCAAAAGATGTTGAACATTCTTTAAGATTTCATAAATACGTTTCTTTCTAAAAGATAAACAAGTAGCTTAAAAGGTATCTGTTTATTTGTCCTGTCATCTGTTTTATTCGATGGAATTTGATATGAAACGTGAGTTGTTCTTATTGAGCTCAACTTCTCGCGCATGCGCAATCCCCAGCGGAGTGACAGGCACGATGGCTGCAGAAAGTCCTTTGCTGCTGTCTCTGGTGGAGGAATTTGTCTCAGGACTTCAGGACAGCAAGGCAAAAGATACTGCGACAGGTAAGTGAGCCTTGTTCGTACTTTGGTTGATTTAACAGTAAACGAGTCAGCGTGAAAGAAACGCAGGCAGGCTGCAGAGCTGCCCTCTAAGGATGCGCAACACGGCAATGCTACGTTAACTAGCTAACTTAGCACCACAACATCCTGTGTGGTGATACAGCAGCCGCGTGATATAAAACAACTGCGCTTAGAAGCTGCTATATGCTATTATTGTTCAATAAAGCAGCACATCATAAGGAGTTTTATTTTGTGCTGTCACTTGACAATGAGCCGCTGGACGGTTGTGGTTTAACCGCATTTTGCCTGCCCTGCTAACCGTTGCCGCTGGTGTGTTTGTGTCCGCCTGGGGAAAAAAAAAAGCAACATTCTGTCAATGAACCCTCTGAAATTACCTTTGAACCCACCGATGCTGCTTGGTTTTCTGTAGCTGACAATAGATAACATTGTGAGGAAGAGGATAAGTGGCAAGAATTAATAATAGAAATTAATTATGTTCCCACCCGCCCCCTACAATTCTGACTTTAAACAACCACATAAAAAATCACTTCAATCCGACATATTCCTCCAGAAAGTTAGTTCTCCACCTGCGCCACTCACATGGCTGCCATTGAAGCTGGTTGGCTTTTTCCAGTGTCCCAACTCCTCTTCCCTTAGTTTCTTTAACCATGCATGTTTGCTTGGAGTTTACAGCTCAGTACGGTTATTACTGAACTTGTTTTTGTATCTTCAGGTGTCAAAGATGGACAGTTTACCGTCCTGCAGCTGGTGGAGGCACTTGGGTGAGGAGCATCTTCAACAGAAACTACAATCACTCTTTTGTTTTTGTTTGTTTGTTTAGAATCATTCAACCAGTGTTTATTTCCATACATTTTAAAAACTTCTGAAGTAAAAATGTGAATATAGTTGCAACACCTGTAATAGCAACTTTTCACTTTACCTCAGTTTCAGGTAGATGTTTACATACTGCTGATCTGACCAGAACTTGAGCTACAGTGCCAAAAAAAAAAACACTATTCACCCCTCCGAATGTTTTGCACTTTTATTGCTTTTAAAAATCTATCATGATCAACAAAATTTGCTTTTTTGACAAAAAAAAAAGTCAAACTAAGCCTAATTTTGTTGATCAGGATAGATTTTTCTAACAGCAACAAAAGCGTCAAAAAACAACCATGCACTGTGTGAGTTAGAATTGCTCTGAGATGAACAGAATTTCTCCTGTTGCTGCTGCAGGCAGAGCCTGACCAGCTCCCAGCCTCACACTCGGGCCCGAGGGGTCCAGCTGCTCTCTGAGGTCCTCCAGGACAACTATGGGGTGCTAACGGAGAGAGAAGGTACACGCCGTCCGCCTTCACTCCTCCGCTAACGTAGGACAATGAATGAGACTTGGTGGCCATTTTGCTATTAGCCGAAGTGACGAGTTTCCCTCCTCCACAGTCGAACTGCTCCTGGCCTTCTACGAAAACCGCCTGAAGGACCACTATGTCATCACGCCGCCGGTGTTACGAGGGCTGCTGGCGCTGGTGAGTTTCTGCTGGGCGGGTTGACAGCAGCAGCAGCGTCTCAGAAATGAAACGACAAAAGTGTGAAAGGAGTAACCGACTGCTCTGAGTCTGTGTGTGTTTTTTATTTTATTTTCTCTCCAGACTAAATCCAGGAAGCTGCCTCCTGGTTCAGCTGTGTCGATGCTGAGGTCTGTGTTTCAGGATGTTCACGTACAGGTGAGACCTGACACAGTAACCAATTTTACGAGTAGATAAATTGTTCCAAAAGTTATTGCGATAAACGATTTAATATTGTTGTTTTGAGACCATTTCCAAGTAATGTCTATTGTTTATTCAGGAAGATTTTATTTCATCTTCCTGACGCCTGACTGATAACACACAAAAATACTCATACAACACAGCAGACCATTTCAACTTCTCACATATAATATCACAAAGTTACTAGTATACCACATTGTACAGATTTCACATATAAGCCTGGATGTTTAAAAGGTGAGATGTAATAAAAATAAGTCTTCAGTTCTCTTTTAAAAGAAAATGTTCAGGTAATTTATTCCATTATCTCAAAAGATCTTTGTAACAGGATTGACTTATTACAGTTTACAATTACTAAATGCATGTTCGCCTTTTAAAAGACCAATAAATGCTAATTTTGTAAATAACATTGGAATGAAATACATTTTGAATATCCCAAAAAATTAAAAACACAAGCAAAAACAATAAATAAAACGGAAATAAAAACCACACACCATCAAAACTGTTCTAAGAATGGATTATGATTTCTCTGTAAACAAAGTTTTTCTTGCTCATTTTGTTTCATTATGCATTAAGTTGATTAATTGCTAATGGCAACAGATGTACAAATTTTGCATCCAAAGCAAATTTTTTGTATTTTCTCTGGATGAGTACAATTATTCTTCATTGCTCTTTCATTTTGAGCCACAGCAACAAACTGTAACCGCTGTATGTTGCCTGCTGTCCTCATTTGCACAAACCATCTCACTCGTGCGATATCTGACCACACTCTTTCTAGCCTAAGTGGCGTTCTTCTCGCTTTGCTCTTCGAGGCACTTCCTCTTGAATGAAATATGTTTTTGAGCTCAGATGAATCTCGTCTGACTTGTTCTACATCCTGTCTGTGTCGTCCCCTCAGTCTCTGATGCTTGCAGAGAGAGCGTGTGTCTACAACATGCTCATCAACCTCATGGAAAGCAGGGAAGACGGTAAGAGAAAACGTTTTTAAATGAGCTGTTCGATGATCCTTGGAATCCATGATCCATTTTTTTTATGCATGTTTGAACAATTCTTCCCTCTGCTTTTGGATGCTGCGCAGCAGGAAAGAGTTTTACTCTTATTGTTTAACTTTTCATCAGCTGGTATGACGTGTAGCTATGGTAACAAGCTATTGTTTCAGCATCTCAAAAGCTCAAATAATACCTGCTCTTAAGAGTTGAAATGACAAGAGGCTGATTTGCAACAACTGATGATGATGTCATCCAGGATATGTTGCTGTGGAACATCAGCTCTGCTGTTAGCATGTCATGACAGTGACAGTATTTTTGCAGTTTTGCAAAATACACGAATTTCGAAAAATTACCTCATGCTAGCGCGAAAACTTTTAATAGAAAAATCTGTTTTTTCAAAATTTCAGTGTTTCTATCAAATAAATTTATTTTCATAATTCCATTCAGCGCAATTTTATGATCAATGGAATCGCAGCTCGTCACGCGGAAACAGTCTTCAGTCAGAGGCTTCTACAGATGTGTTGAAAGACTGACTGCTACCAGAAATCCCATCTTTGAAGATGCCCTATCTTGTTAATATGCCAATAATTTAGCAGGTGTTGAAAGAAAATGTGTAATATTAGGGAATCATTCAGAGAAATGTCGATTTTTGAGGATGGCATCGTGTAAATGTGCTTCAAGGTGGGGGTCCATTCCAAATTATGAGTTGTTGTTTTTTTTTTCTGTTTGTACCTCTTTCAATGTTCCGCAGAACTGAAAGGTTTGGGTGCAGATTTTGTTTTTGGTTTCGTCCAATCGATGGACGGTGAGAGGGATCCCCGCAACCTTTTATTGGCCTTCCAGATTGCCAGAAACATCGTTCTGCGGGGATACAGCATGGGTAAGAGCAGACAGAGACCAGACATGTCTCCGTTGTTTCTCTCTGAGCCGTCATGTGACCGTTATGGCTCCCATTATTTTCCGTCTCAGGCAAATTCACCGAGGAGCTGTTCGAAGTGACGTCCTGCTACTTCCCCATAGATTTCTCCCCGGTGAGTTCCTGTTTATGCAGCCGGTTAGAACCTGTGGCCTGTTAGAGAACAGGAGTGTGACAGACTGACACATTAACACAGCTGCAGCACATTAGCAGAGATAGAACTGTTCATAGTGGCCAATTTGATATGAAATAAAGACTGGGAGAGGTTTATAATGCGTCACTGTGTTTGACACTTATTTTTTATTAAATGTTTAGATGCCATTTTTTTGTCAGAATAGGTTTATAGATTTTATTTATTCCTAATTCTAAATTAGCTGCCTATTAGCCCTTGAGTGTTTTATTAAGATATCAACAGATGGAGGAATTACACATCACAGTGCCATTCCAGTCATTTGTTTACAATGACTGGGAATTATAGCATATATTATTTTTTTTTGTCTGAATCAGTCACTAAATAAAGCGACTTTTCAGACAAAAAATGATCAGCATTGGCCAAAACAGGAATCAGTGGCTCAGACTTTTTAAAAATCAGGCTCTTCCAGAAAACCACAATCGGTGCACCCCTAATCCAGAGACTGTGTGATTGTTGAAGGTTGTCAGTCGTTTGTTGATTTCCACGTTCATGTTCTTTTTTTGTATTTAGTGTTGTAGCTTTCGTCTTCTGTCAATGTGGGAGATGGGAGTTGACAGCAAAATTGTCTCAAAAATCAATAATTAAATTGGTCATATGCTGAGTTAAAACGAACTTGATATCATTTGCATGATTGTTTTTCTCATCTCTCTTTTTGTCCTACCAAAAACTGGATTAGTGAAGAAACTTGCGCTGAAGTTTCAAGTTTCTTCATGAAACTTTGCAGGTTCATTTGTCTCAGCTGGCGTCTTTTTTGATGGACAGTTTAGTTTATGTGTATTTCTGCATCCATTTAACTTTTAGTTTTGGTTGTTTTGTTTATTTATTTTTGATATTTCCGCTAGTCCGATAGTTCCGGTATTTAAATTCGTTAGAATTAAAATTTATTTATCTTTGTGAATGCATTCTTGCATTATTATGCCATTCTCATTATATTGCTTGAAAATGGTCTTAAAAGAACAATATTATCATTTGTCACAATAACTGCTGAGACAATTTATCATCCAGCAACATTAGTTATCGTAGCAGGCTGAGTTGGCACATATAAACACTACGACACAATCGAACATAGTTTGGTTGGAGTGCAGTAGTAGTTTCTGTCATTTCTAGAATGTGGCCTCATCAGTTAGCTTCTGTAGTCTCATCATGTCTCTTCCCCCCTGCCCCTCACCATGTCCAGCCACCCAACGACCCCCACGGCATCACCAAAGAGGAACTGATCCAGGCGCTGAGGGCCGTCCTCACCGGGACCCCCAAGTTTGCAGAGGTACAACGCCGTTACCCCATGCACACTGAAATCTATTGCGGAGCCTGAACTGGTTTCTGACTTCCAGTTCCTGTTGCCGCTCATCATCGAGAAGCTGGACTCAGACGTCCAGAGCGCCAAGCTGGACTCGCTGCAGACCCTGGTGAGAAACGCTTCAGAGTCGCGTCCCAGTCAGACGGGGTTTAACGGGACAGTTTAACCGGCGTGTTGTTCCCGCTGCGTTTCAGGCTGCCAGCGTGGGACAGTATGAGCACAGAGACCTGGCTGAGTTCCTGGAGGGACTGTGGAGCTCGCTGCGCAGAGAGGTTCGCTGCAAACACACCCTTTTCTTTTCAACTCTTTCTTCTTCACTGCAAAAACACTAAATCTTACCAAGTATTTTTATTCTGGTTTCTGGACCATATGTGTTATACTTGAAATAAGACAAAACTAACTTTCAAGTAGCTTTTCAGCAAGATATAAGAGCAAGTTTTAAGTCAATAATTCCTTAAAACTGATTAAAAAGTTTTAGTTCCACTGGCAGATTATTTCATTGATAGCAGGACAATTTTCCCATGTTAAAAAAGCAAAAATCTGCCAGTGGAACTAACACTTTTTTTTATCGATTTTAAGGAATTCTTGACATAAAACAAGCTCCATTAACTTTCTGAAAAGTTACTTGAAAGTTAGTTTGTTTTATTTCAAGTATGATAAGATATTTGCGCTAGAAACCAAACCAAAAGTATTTGGTAAGATTTTGTATTTTTTGCTGTGTTAAGTTGTGTTTCACTTCAGCTTTAGGATGTAAAGCCATTTTTTGGGCTGAGTTTTAACTTCATGTTTTCCATGAGCTCAACCTAATGCATGTGTGTGCTTTTTTTTGTTAGTTTGTTTTTTTTTAAACCATAATATCTGGTTGCCTTGCTGCAGGTGTTTCAGACATCCAGTGAGAAAATCGAGGCAGCAGGCCTCGCTGCCGTCACCGCACTCACTTCCTGTCTGTCTCGCTCTGTTCTCAACTCTGACTTTGAAGACTCCCTAAGCTCCTTCCTGGATCTGGTGCTCAGAGGTGAGCTACATATTCACAATGAAGATCTAAAGGGGGAAAATAAAAAGCATGACTGGCAGAAAGCATAAATAAAAGGTCGTTAGGGAAGCCGGTGAGTTATAGATATGAACAAAAGGAAGGCTTTTTTAAGATGTGCAACATTGCAAACATTGCTATTTATTCTTATTTTACTGAGATTTTAGAATTTGAAGTAAGGCTGGATGATATGGATGAAAAACGCTTCATGATATAAGCGCTTAATATCAGTTTATCTATAATTATTGATTCATTTTTTTGTTTTAAATATCTGAAATACTGCCAAACTGGTAGCATTAGAAACTGCTGCTGTGCAAGTTACTCAGCAGGTTGTTGCTAGGTAACTAAAGAGAGGTTGAGTGGCTAAAGTCTTTCCTCTGTCTACATCCCAGAATGCTGTGCGGTTCTGGATCAGAGTTCAGTGAAATCACTGAAAATGATTTATCAATATTGATCACGTGTCTCATTGTAATAAATATTGTTATTGATTTATTGCTCAGCCATAAGAAAAACCAAAGCAAATTGTTCATTTTTGTGTGGGGGGGAGGAAAAAAACGCCCCATTTCCAGGATTCCCACAGCGAAACACGGTGGTGGCAGCATTATGCTTTGGGGAAGCTGGTTGGATTTGATGTAAGGAAGGATGGACCTAAACAAAGAGCAAAACTGATAGAAAATCAATTGGTGAATTATGTTCAAGGTTATGGTGGTAATATGACAAAATGTTGACAGTTTTAAGGGGTGTGAATACTTCTGTGAGGCGTCTTGTCTGTTTTTGATTTGAAAAAAGGTTTTTTTATTTTTTTATTTATTTATTTATTTTATTTTTCAGACTGCAAGCACCATCTGTTTGAGCCCGACTTGAAGCTGGTGTGGCCCAGCACTAAGCTACTCCAGGCCGCTTGCAGCGCCTCCTACAGGGCGGCCCACAGCATTACAAGTGCTGTCGTGCCCCCTCTAGTGGAGCAGTATAACAGCAGAACGCAGGTTAGTTTTTTCTATAAAAGTGAAATGAAGGTTTTGTTGTCATGGTGACATCGTGTTAATCCAGGTGTTTCTCTGCAGTGTTCCCACAGGCGGACGCTGCTGGAGGTGGCACAACGTTTCATCCAGTCAACTGCTTCATCTCAGTCTGTAGATCATGGTGAGGAAAGAGTTTCCCTTACTGCTGTAGTTCAACTTTTTTGGTAACTTTGGAGAAGATTTGTCCAAAAATACTTAAAATGTTTTGGAGGCTTGGTGACCCCGAGAAAACCCCATGTTCAATAGGAAGGGGTCCTATTTTATTAAAAATGTCACAAGTTTCAAAAAGCTTTTCAGCTCGTTAAGTCAAAGCAGAGTTTGGCTAACATGATAGTAGAACAGAAAGCAGCGTTTTCCTGCCATGCTTTCACAATCTCACTTTAATTTCTGCTTTCACTGCAGAACACAAGCTTAGTTGAGTAGTTTTTTTTTCTTTCTTTTAGACATTTTTTGTTTTACAGGCCACCCATTTCTGATCTCTGACGTCTAAAACAATAAGAGGCGCTGATACAGATTTAATCAGATTCTGAGTTTCCTTTAAGAACTGCAATAAAAGAAGACATAGGAACACAAGGGCTAATATTTATTTGCTGCCTTTCTGTCATCGGTGGTCATTAATTATTTACATTAGGAGCAGAGGAGATGTCACACTGTGCGAGAGATGAGTCTCTAACTGCATTTTCATTACAAATGTGCGCAAAACTAAGTCGATATTCTGCTAATGTTGAAAAAACACTATTTTGCAATTGTGGTGTTTCTCTTAAATAAATACAGTTTATGCAATAAATGCATGATTAAATTTGTTCATGCGATAAGTCTGTAAAAAATATGATCCTCCGACCGCTTCCTGCCGTCTTCTTTGTGGTTTGTGGCAGCGGCAACATCCGGTTGTTGACATTGTGACGCGATAAAAAGTGTTTCGATTGCAGTTTTGTGAAATAAACCAATATTAATACGGCCAAAAAAAAAAACACCTAATCCTAGCGCCCAAACTTTTTTTACCCAAAAATGAGAGTTTTTCAAACTTGCCGTGTTTCCATGTTGCAAATTTATGTTTGTTATCTCAATTTTCTTTTTTCATTCTCTGGCTATTGAAAACTACAGCTACACAGATGCTGTAAATCTGCTTCCTCTGGTGACCGTCTGCTCTCTGTCTCTCCAGATGAGAGCTTGTTTTCTGCATATAAAGACTCCCTGTGCAGCTTGGTGTTCTCAGCTCTATCTGAAAGTAACTCCAGTCTGCAGATCACCGCCGCCTCAGTGCTCACCTCTCTGGCCCAACAACCAGGTGAGCAGCACACCAAACCCCACTCTGCCCCCGTTGATCCGGTCAGGTCAGGAACGTCTAGAGGCGCTGAAACGCTCGTCTCCCCCCAGGTCTGCTGCTGGACTCTGACATCGAGCTCGCCGTGGACCACCTGACCAGGCTGCTGCTGACGGATGAGGATGAGAGAGTCAGGTCGGCTCCTGTTGCTCTGCCTCTCACTTTTGTGAATCCAGTTTGTAACGGTTCTGTTTCCTCTGTGCGGTCAGTGTGGCTGTGGTGGAGTGCGCCGGAGCTTTGGCCGAGCAGCACCCTGCTGCCTTCGTCACCAAACTGATCCCAACGCTGAAGAAGGAGATGTTTTCTGGTGAGCAGATGGAAGGAGGACTGAAACGATTAATTGATTACTGAAATAATTGTCAACTAATTTAGAAATTAACTGGATTAGACAGACTAAAAAAAGCCATTTGGTGAAAGAACAACACACTTTGGGCAGTAATTAAGCCAAAACAGTATAAAAAATATATACATTTCACATAAAGTCTTCCATTAGGCACCTTTTGTTATCCAATTATTAATCAGTTAATTCAAATAATAGCCAACAGATCATCTTTACACAGCATTGACATAAAACCAAGCAGCCAGGGATGAGGTCTTCACGTTTTTTAGCTGCAGATGCATCCATTGCTACAAATGATCAATCGTTTACTAATGTATTGCTACCTTGTTAAATTTTAGGCAATAAAATATTTATGTTCTTATTAAGAAAGGAATTTAAATGTTTTATTTGTGTTTTTTAAATGTTTTTCTAAGACCGCATTTAAAAAGCCTCAAGTGCTTGAATAAAAAAATCTGCAGAATGTTCAGACTTTTATTTATTTGATTGTCAATTTAATGACTATACTTTATTAATTTTAGAGGGAAAATAATAATCATTTGCAGCCCCAGATGGAAATATTCTGTTTGAAATCTGATAGTTTTGCGTTTAGAACAAATTTCTTTTTCCTTTTAAATTTAGACCAAAGAGAGTCGTCCGAGCTGCGTTCCCATCATGCAGTGCGTCAGCGATGCTTGTCCGCGCTAGCCGCGGTGTCCGTCCGGGCCAGCGTCGTCATGGAGAGCACACCCGTCCTCCTGGACGTCCTCTGCTCGGCGCACACAGGTGATCCTCCTTCCACCGACTCTTTTCTGGAGTTGGGAAGCGATTGAAACGCTGACGACATCGTTTCTTTTCTTTTTTTTTATCCAGATCCCGATCGTTTCTGCGTGGACGAGGTGGTGCGCGCCTGCCTGAGCCTGCAGAGGATAGCGGAGCGGGTCCAGGACGGCGAGGACACGAGCCGATGCTTTCATGACATCATCGTCCCTCGGCTGTTGTCTCTGGCGCTCCAAGCTGCACTGCAAAGTGAGGGGCGGAGTTTCATCAACAGAAAACTCTGAGGCGCCGTGATGAAACAGAAATAATTAGTGTGTTTTACAGGCGACGGGTCATCGGGTCGTTATAGTCCGCTGGTGGAGGAGGAGGTCCTTTCTGCCATGGTTCCTGTTATCAGCACCGCCTGCTCCCGCCTGCAAACGTTAGCATAAATACAATAAATTATCAAAAAAAATCTTCATTTAGAAAAATCTGAAACCTGTGACTTAAAAGGGCAGTTTTATGTAAAATTCACTTTTTTGAGCTTTATATCATCTGATAATGTTACTCTCTAATCAAAACATACCTGGAGTGTTGCTTTGATTTTTTTCATGAATCTGTGAGAAATCCTTTCCATGGCAACCATTCAGCTGTGCAAGATGCCTGGGTGGACCTAGCCCCGCCTCCTGCAGTTACTAAGCTTCTGAGCTTTTCCTACTGAAGCATCCATTCAGCTCCTTCAGACTAGCCAGCAGCAATTAGCAAACATCTGGTGGTAAAAATGTGGTCAGTAGAAGAACCATGTTGTGATGACTTCTTGAAGGCAGAGTTTCAGAAAGAGCAGGAGCTTCTTAAAGATACAAAGGCCCAATTTTATGGCATTAAATTACAAATTCAAATTTCTTTTAAGTCATATAAATATATACAGTATTTTTATAACAACTGAAGTTAAAGCAGTTACTTGATAGTGTTACAAAATGCCACTATGTGCCTAGAAAATGCAAAATGCTGCCTCTTTAAATTTATTTTACTGCTGATTGTTGCTTTCCCTCATCAGTTTGATGCCTCTGTTCTGATGTCGGTGGGTTTTCATGTGGTTTCCTGTCGGGGTGTTTCCGTGTCACCAGGTTTGCAGAACAGACGGCCTCCAGGGCCGTGTCGCTCTTCCTGGACGGTGACGTCTCGTTTCTGCCCGACAACTCCTTCCCACCGCGCGTCCAGCTGCTCCAGGTAAAAGTGTTTCAGACAAATAAAACAGTTTCCCAAAGCACGATGCTGCCACTCACTGAGTTCACAGCAGCCAGTTGGTGAACTTTGTTTATACCACCGAGTAGATTTGGTTACAGCGAAGTGTGTCAGCATTCTTGCCAAACAGGAAACTTGACATAGACACACAATAAATAGAAAAGCAACATGACTTAAAGTGAAACTTTTAATCAGTATTGAAACTATGCGAATTTGAATTGTGGAAACTTGTGGGAACAGTTTTACATTTCAAATGTCTAGACGGGAGCCTGTATGGATGGGATGATCGAGGGGCTGCACTAACTAGTCAACTATTTCGCCATACAGCTATTTAAAATGACTTTTTTAAAATATCTTCAATGAATGAAACATTATTTTCCATTAAAAAAACAAAACACTCCACTCAGCATGCAGCATTTGAAGAAAACAATCAAGCTAGTTGCACTTTTTGAAAAATCAATATGGACCAAAACACCATTCCCACAGCATGACTCTGCCACCACCTTGTTTAATCATAAGGATGGTATGTTCAGTTTAAATCAGAATGTAGGCATTCTAAATTAGGTGACTAAATTTACTAATTAAGTCATTTAGTAAGTGTAATCAGCTGTATTTTGTGTTATCTGAGTAAAATCAGCATAATTTATAACACATTTTTGTTCAATTAATTTTATGTTTCTTTAGACTGTTGCGCTGCGTTGCATTGGTTCTTAGCATTAAATTCCTTTAAAATATGTTTAGATTTCTTATGTATAGATTTTCTTAAGCCATAAGAATACTTTATCATCTCTCTACCTGACTGGAAACATTGGAGTTTTTTTTTTTAATCTCTGCATTATGTTTGAAGTGTGTATTATTATTTTCCCCTTGCAGCAGCAGCAGGAGGAGGATTCATCCTGGCGTCAGACCCAGTTGGTGTGTTTGCTCATGGCATGTGTGTGTTCGTTACCTCACAGTGTGAGTCTCAACCCAAACTTTGTTTCTGAATTTTACTAAAAAAAAAAAAAAACAACCCTTGTGAAGCTGAAAGTGCTGCGTGTGCCCTGCAGGTGGCGCTACCCCAGGAGGAGCGGCTGCTGTTGGAGCTGGAGGAGCTGAGCTGCAGCTGCAGACACCCACTCTCCTACACATCGGCTGCCAAGTGCTTCGCCGGCCTGGTCAACAAGAAGCCACAGGGTGCGTCTGAGCATCAGGTTTTTGTCTGAAACAATTAGCCTGTGATGATGTTGTTGATGATGATGTTCTGTCTGCAGGGCCTTCTCTTGACAGTTTAATTCAGGGCGTGATAAAGCGAGTGAGCGGTGAGCTGGACCGACCCTCCTCCCCTCTGCGCACTCAGGCCTTCACACTTCTGGTCTGGGTGAGAATCGCTCAGCTGCAACCTTTCATTTTCTCATTTTGAATTTCTATCTCAGACTATTCACACTTTCCTTAAAAAGCCTTAAACTCAAACATCTAAAATTAAGACCTTTGAACATCTTAAATTTATTAAAGAAAATGTAAGTCGGCCTTAAATATGTCAGTCACAGGACGTAAATTGCATTATGGCTATGTAGGTTTTCTCTTACTGGACTTTTGCATCAGGCAAAAGTTTGAGTAGCACACAGACATCATCACTGCATTAAGGCTGCTCTTAACAAGGTGCTAATGCTTGTTGGCTAGCTGGCTAGTGTTTTGCATTTATTGAATTCAGATTTATTCATGTCTCAAATGGGCAACTAATGTTACAGCAGGTATAAAAACTAAACGACAAAGTATCAGAAGTTAAAAAATAAAAAAGAATAAAACATCCCAAAAAGACATCAAATCTAAATCAAAAAGTTCAAATTGAACAGCAGTTGAGTGAACGACGTCCACAAAAAAGGGAGCTAACTAAGTAGCTTTTTGCTACGTTTTTTTGCTAGCCATCTTTGCAAAAAAAGATGGTTAGCTAGCTCTTTGCGTCTACTATTTAAATAAATAAATTTATCAGCAATTGTCTGGACGATATTCGCAAAAAAGATGCAAAAAAAGCTAGCTAGTTTTTTTGCAGTTGACTGGACAGGATTCGTCTTCACCTTTGGCCTTGATCTGGTGAAGCCTTTCAGAAACCCTGCATAAAGATCACACTGTTTTTTTTTCTACTGAAATCATGTTCAGGTTGCCAAGGCTCTGCTGCTGCGATACCACCCTTTATTCTCGGCGCTAACCGACAAGGTGAGACCACTGTGAGATGTGAGCTGTGAGTTAAAAACTAAAGTTCTAAGTTCTGAGGAACCTGACCCGCTCTGTGCAGCTCTTCTCTCTGCTCGACGACGCTCTCCTCGGCCCAATGGCTGCTGACAGCTTCTCGCTACTGATGAGCGACTCGGCCGACATCCTGAACCGCGGTTGCCACGCCGACGTCCGCATCATGTATCGGCAGCGCTTCTTCAGCGAGAATTCTGCCAAGTTGGTGGAGGGCTTCAACGCTGCACCACAAGGTTAGAGACACTTAAACACATTGACACTCATCAGCAGCACTGATCTCACCTAAGTTACTCTTGTTGGTTGCAACACACAACTTGAAAACAAGACCGAGATAGTAAGATGGCACTATGAGGCTGGAAAACATAGTAGTGCCCCTTTAAATTATGAACATTGTGTGTAATCTTGCTTGTGTATGTAAACTTGTGACCGTATGTTGTTGTTTTTTTAACTGGAATGTGTTTTTTTGGTTTCCTCTCTGGTCTTTTTGCTGCCTAACAGAAAAGAAGGCCAACTACCTGAAGGCTCTGTCCAACATCGTCAACAAGCTGCCGAAGCAGGTCCAGGTGTCTGAGCTGCCAGCTGTAAGGGCCACACGTTTCCTCTCTGGAAAACAGACCAGTTATCTGGCGTACCGATCGGTGTGACGTGTTTTTGTCCAGCTCCTGTCTCTGCTGCTGGAGGCCTTGACGTGTCCCGACGAGGGCGTCCAGCTGTCCACTCTGTCCTGCCTGCAGCCCGTCCTCATAAATCCCCCGCAGGTCCTGATCCAGCAGCTGGAGGCGCTGGTCAGCCGGCTGCTGGCCCTCATCGGCAGTCCAGCCATGGTGAGGCTCTGCTTCCTGTCCTGACAGCATCAGAAGGAGAGTGATGCTGTTTGCTTTACTAAAATATGAGGATTACATCAACAAATGACTGAAGTGTTTTCATTTGTTTATTTATTTTATGTTTTGTTTCTTTCCTTCCCAGAAAATCCGCATGGCCTCCATACGATGTGTTCTCGCTCTCTCCTGTTTCCCGGCTCACGAGGTAACAAACGCTGTGGACCTGTTCCTGTTTAAGACCAACAGATTCATTATATTTAGACTTTATATTGTTATATAGATTCATTTAGATCATAAAACAGGGGAGGGAAATTATGTTAGTCTTTTTGGGAAATAGTGAAGCAATCATAGATCTTAACTCTGAAAGAGAGGTCACTTTCTCTTCATTAGTTCAATTTTTTCCTTCCTGACTTTGTTTGTTTTTCTTATTTATTCCTCTTTTCTTACTCAGTTTATTCCTTTTGTTCTGTTTTTTTTTCTTTGTGACTTTATTCCTAGTCCTGTTATCAAACTCATCCATCCTTTAGCTTTTACAGTTTTTGTATTTAAATCCAGACTTCAGTAGAAATATCTGCTCTTCACAACGAATTTTTGGATTTATACTTTTAAATAAAACAGAGGGCTGATAGATGATCTTCTGAGTGTGTAAAAAAATTTAAATTCAGACACAAAATCCTGGCAGGCAGCATGTTGTCAGCTGTACGTCCTACTATATAAACCGTGTGTGTGTGTGTGTGTGTGTGTGTGTGTGTGTGTGTGTGGAGGTGTTGCCGTTCCGGTCGCGAGTTCTGCGAGCGTTGGCTCCGCCCCTGGACGACAGGAAGCGGCTGGTGAGGAGAGAGGCGGTCCAGGCCAGAGCAGAGTGGTGAGGTCACATTGTTTCAATCTGAACCAGCTCATTTCAAAAACTTCATTTGTTTCCATCGACTCATCCTGCTCAGAAAGTTTCATCAGTTTGTAACTGAATTCATCTTGATTTTGCGTTCCCACTGCAAAACCCCCAAATCTAACAAAACTAACTTAAGTAACTTTTCAGCAACTATAGGAACTTATTTAAGTCAATAATTTTTGAATATGGATAAAAGAAAACCAAAAATGTAATGGAGAAACACTGGTGGATTTTTTTCACTTACAGTGAGACATTTTTCCTTTTTTAAGTGAAAAAAAATCATCCAGTTATCTATATTCAAGAATAACATATTTAAAAGAAGCTTTTTTTTATTTCACTAAAAAGACACTTTTAAATGTCTTTTATTTAAGTGAACTAAAAATATTTTCACTAGAAACTCTCATGATAATATTTCGTATCTTTGCAGTCCAAGTCTTTGATTTTGTTACATTTCCCTGCAGGTTCCTGTTAGGAAGCCCTGGTGGAAGGTGATCTCTGTCTGTCCGTAAAACCTCCAGGACCAAGTAGCAGAGCGCTCTGCCTCCCTTCTCCTCCTCCATTCAGAAAAGTGTTTGCTTCAGCAGTCTGACTGCACACACACACCCACACACACACACACACACAACGTGGTGAAGCGTTTCATGGATCTGTGATTGCCAGGAGCCGTGCAGCAAGTCACAGACGCTGCCGACTGAATTTTATAAATCATATCATAAGCCAGACAACACAGTTGTTTTTGTTTTTTTTTCTTTTTTGGAAAAAAAGTCATGAAGCTGAAGACATTTTGTTCAGTGCTTCACTGTTAAACATGGCCGGTTGTTAATACAAACCTTTTTATTACTATTATTATTATTATTTTATTAACTAAAAAGCAATAAAGCAGTTTGAGTTTCAGTGATCCGTAGATTCCTTCTTTTCGGTATTTTCAGCTCATGTCGGCTGAAAAGCTTCAGAGTTGAACTTTATTTAAGCCCTGTGCAGCTCCGGACCTCACACTGACAGCCTGCGCCGTTGCTCTGAATGTTTAGGACGTTTGAACGGATTCCGTATGAATCCTCTGACACGTAAATGGAGATTGTTTTACTTCTTAAGCGTTTTGTGTGGACTCACGCTGGAAGTGTTATTGGTTTGCCTTGTTTTCTGTCGATATTTAAATGTGGTTGTTGTGTGATGGTTGCCGTCGAGTCGGTGAGAATGTTTGGACCTCAAAAAGTTCTGCCAAGGAAACGGTGCCTCGCAAAAGTGTTCACACCCGTCGGACTTTTCCACATTTTTTTCTCCTTAGTCAGACTTTAATGATTTTTTTTTTTTGTTAGAGCAACAAAAAATTATTGCATTATTTTGAAATCAAAAGAAATGAAGTTTTCAACTTTCTCAACAGTCAAGTTAGCTTTAGCTTGCTTTACTGTACTCTTACCACAGATTCTCATTTACATGGCTGGTTCTAGAGGGGGGGTTAGGTGGGGTCAGTTCCCTGGCAGCACTGGATCTGGACTTTGTACTGAAGATATTATACTGATTAATTTTCTTATGGTGATATGTGCTGACATAGAGACTGTAACTAATTGTTTCCTTTGACCAGTTTTATTTTTTTCTCTTCACAGTTTTTCCTTTTTAATAAATTAAAAATTATAAATGTATTTCTGCCACTTTGAAACAGCATCAGGTGTCTGAAACCTGCAGTTCAAGAGCTTATTGGTCCCACCAGGTTTTCATAAAAAAATTTTCTTTTTTTTTTTTGTGGTCAAAATGACTTGTTTTTGGTGCTAATTTACAATGAAAAGCAGCGTCATGAGTAAGGCTAATGCAGCAGAAGAAATAGAGCCATCTGCAGGTGTGAGTTAGCAATCACTTAAACTCAATGTTTTTGACCGTTTTTGCGAAAAATGTGCATTGAATTCACATTGAATGCAGACTGTTTTGCATTTGAGCAAAACAGTCAAGACTTTTCAGATATGCATTTGTTCTGGCTCCCCGCCCTGGCCCTCTGGTAAATATCGTCTAGAACCCTTCAATGTGGACTTTGGCTGGGCCATTTTCCGTTTTGTCGTGTAAAACCTTAAGTTACTAAGACTGCCACGTTAGGAACATTGTTGGATATGAAAAATGTTGACTATGCTGGACTTTTTTTTGATTACATAAAGTATTTCATTGTTACAGTGGCATGGGCATTAGCCCCGCCCACTCAGCGTCTCAGTTGCGTCATGTGAAGGGTTAGCCTCAATAACATGGATCAGCTTTGATCTGAACAGCTACATCGAATTTCCATTGTTAATAATTTAGCTTCATATTGTCCTGTGTTGTTGCTCTTCTGCGTTTTTGTTTTTTTTTGTGGGGTCCGATTGACTCCGACGGCGAGACGAGAGGGTTAGTTTGTGAATACTTCTGCGAAGCACTGTAGACAATGACTAATGTCTAACTTTGTTTTATTAAAACTTTTCTTTGTAAATTGACCGTATGTCTGTTTTATTTATCATCCAAACATGGAGACAATCGATAGCAGAAGATAACAAAACTTGTTTTATTTAAAAAAAAAAAAAAAAAACAGGAAGTGGAGCACAGCTCCTATTGGTTGCTGATTACATCAGAATCTTGTCACAAACATTCAAATAGAAAATTGAAATAAAAATGTCTTAATGGAAATATTTCACAGTGCATCATTTGCTAATAGAAACTGCCCCATTTACAAAACCAAAGAAGCAAAAAGACTTGATTAAAAAAAAAGCTGGAAGGAAAGAGTTCATGTTTTCCTTTCTTTGGCACCAGGACACATCAAGTCAGTAGTGCTGAATGTAACTCCCTCACCCCCCTCTAAACGTAACATGGAAAGTTGTAAACAAATATTAAAAATCATCAAAATGACTCAACACTTGGATCTGCAGCAACCAAAACATTTCAAGTTGAGTCATGTTCAGTTCCCAGAATGCATCAGAGCACAGCTCCTCTTCCGCTGTCCGATGTGAGGGGAGCAGAGAGGTCAGATGGCCATGGGGTCGCTGCTGGTGGAGGGCCGGTCCCACATGAGGCCGTCCCCACTGGGCGGGTGGCTGGAGGGCAGCAGGACCCGGGTCAGCCAGTGACTGACGGGGAAAAAGTCTCATCGTTTCAACAGAGATGACTCAGAAATATTCAGATAACAGCAAGAAAACAGTATCAGTTTATTAGAAAGGAGCAGGAACTGCTAAATATGATGAAGGTTTTAGAAGCCGGGCAGCCGTCAATCAGCTGTGTTGGGAATTTGATTTGCGTTTATTTCTGATTGGACTAAAAGCATTTTGGCACTTTTTAAAAGTTATGAACCAATATAAATCCTTCTTCATCCATAAAGGCCTAAAATTATGGATGGAATTTACTGTTCAGTTTGACGTTTTGAAAATAAATCACAAGTTATTAATTAATTTGCTCTTTAAATTTATATTGAAACAGATACAGCCAGAGTTAGACTCTTAAATTAAAACCAAAACCTTGAGTCTTACTTGGATTTATTCCTTCCTCAAACCCTAACTTTTTCTTCTCTTCTTCCTTCCTTCAATTCTTACCTTTCTTTTTTGATCACTTTCTTTATTTCCTTCCTCGATCCATAATGTTCTTGACTCCTCTCTTCCTACCTTCTCTCTTCCTCTGTCTCTGCAGTCCTTCCTTCCTTCCTAGATCCTTCTCCCTTTATCCCTGACTTTCTTCCTTCCCTCTCTTGTTCCTCAGCCTTCTCCAGGTGTTTCCATTGATGAGTTCAGAATTATTAAACCAACATATGAAGATGTTTTGTGGCTCCTGGTCTCACCTCCTTGTTTCCACTCCAAAGAACAACTTCCAGTTGTTCAGGCGGCCATGATGGTACGGGTTTCTGAACACCTGACAGGGAGAAGAGGAACCGTTAGAACAACAGCAGCCATTGTTTTGTTTTCATGTCTGTTGAAGCAATCAAAGGGAAAAAAAAGTTTTATGAAGAACAAATGAATATTCAATTCAATTCCTGGCCGGTGGTACCTTGCCGTTGCTCTGCAGCCGTCTGGCCTCCTTGCAGTTGATGTGGCGCTCCACGCTGGTCTCTCCTCTGCTGATCAGCTTGGCGTGCCACAGGGTCAGTCCGCCCAGCGCCACTGCCACCGAACTGCAGAACCAACGGGTCAGAGCGGAACAGGAGAGCCATTACGAAACTGCCAACTAGCTGCAGGGAGTGGTCTAGGTTCTGTGCAGAGCACCGGCTCACCTGGTCAGGACCCAGAGGAAGATGATGCACTTATGGCCAACGCTCTCTCTGGGGCTCAGGTCTGGAGGCGGAGTCTGAAAGGAAGTCTAGAAACAGACAGGAAGTACTTCAGACTGGATCTTTAAGGATTTATAGATTTCATAAAAATGCAGTGCAGTTCATTATGGCAGATAAAACTAAAGAAAATGAAGAAAAAAAAATAAACTAATTTTTCCACTGTAAATAAATTTTGTGGCGCATGAGTTATTTAAATTAGCTAGTTTGGACACTGCTGCTAGATCTAGAACTTCATAAAATTCTAGATCTAGAACTTTATGAAGGGGCAGTGAAGGTACTGTAAGATAAGGTACAGTAAAGACAAATAAAAAGAGTGAAAAAGTTTTATTTTGTTCACAAAAACCTGGATAAGAAAAGATGAATAACATTTTGACATCTCTGTAAATGATCATAAACAAATGATTAGGCTTTTTGTTGTGCAGCGCTGCATATCTTCCAGACCTTAATCACATGGCCTGTGTTGTTTACTTCTCAGCTTTTCAGATCCTTAATCAGACGTAGATTTGAGAACAAGATCATTTCCAGGTGTCCTGTTTCTATCTTTGCCCTCCATCTGAGATCAGATTCTGCCTTCTGACTTCCACCTCACAGATGCTGTCACTACAAACATCTCATTAAAGCTCCTAGGCCACACCTCGGGGCAGAGGTCGTCAACGTTTACTATCCAGAGCCTTCAGTTCCCTGAAACGTTTGTCTAGAGCCACAAAGCCCATAAACGAAACGTTGAGTTATTTCATTGAAGAATCATGACTGTAAATTTATGTTTAGATTTTAAAGTATCAAGCTTTAAAAAAAATGAGGACAAAGGTTGCATTGACTGAAGTTTTATGATCTTTAAAACAGCCTGACCTGCTGATTCTCTCATGCATGTTTGAGCAATCCTTTAATCCCCATGGCAACCATTCAACTGTGCAAAACGCCTGGGTGGACCTAGCTCCGCCTTCAAAGACGAAGCTCCTCCTCTGAGCTGCAGATTCCAAGCTTTAGAGCTTCCACCTCTCAGAGCAGCTCTACCCCGCCACTCCTCCACTCAGCTCCTTCAGACTAGCCAGAAACAATCAGCAAACACCTGGTGCTTAACCTGGTGGCTAACCCTTACCCATCTCATCATAGGAGATATTTCTCAGCTCAATGTTGGTTAAAAAAAAAGTTGTTAAAGGGTTAATAGAGGAGCCATGTTGTGATGACTTCCCATAGGTGGAGTTTCAGAAAGAGCCGGAGTTTTAAAGAGACAGCAGCCCAATTTCAAGGAACTAACTTACACTGCCAAATTTCTTAAGTCATATTTGATATATGTAACCTTTTTACAACAATTTAAGGTAACATAGTTGTGTGATTGTGCTATAAAATGGCGCTATGTGGCTGGACAACACACAATACTGCCCCTTTAAGTTTGAATACAGTCATCAGTCATATTTTGTTGATCCTAAATGGCCAAACAAGGCTCTGGTGATCAAACTAAATGGAGGTAAAGCGCTCTGAACCCTAACAGAACTCACTCACCTCTATAGCGCTGTAGGCATCCAGAAACAGGTTTCTGCTGCTGATGCTGCAGTAGACGCAGCCCAGGGTCATGTAGAGGCAGAAGGAGAAGAAGTATCGATGGTTCAGGTGGCCGACACAGTTGTTCAGCCAGGCTGGGAAGGTGTTCAGGTCAAACATTTACAGCAGATTCAGAGAGGCTGGAGCGCTCCCATCGTTTTCATGTGGAGCCGTTTCACATGTTCTACGGGCTGAAAGGATACGACAGTGGTGGTCCATCTTCAGGACGCACCTGCAACACAACAGAAACAGCTCTGTGACATAAAGATGGGCCGAACCGGCTTGGCGCCCGGGAGGAGAGAGAACAGCTTACAGGCTGCAGATGCTGCAGTGATGCGTCCTCGGCGGTTTGGGGGTGATGCATTTCTTACAGATGGAAACAGATGGAACGTCGCGTTTGTCCTGAAATACACAGACATGGAAAAGACTTTACTGAGACAATAACGGTCCGCGATGCCTCGGAAAGACCAGGAATGTCACCGTAACTAATTACAGCCGACAATAAATTGTCCCACAAATTACTGCGATAAACAAGAATATTGTTTGTCGCAATATATTTTCAAGCAATATATTGGCAATGTTATCATAATGTAAGTTTGCCATCTGTTATGAAGTGTCATTTGGTAAATAATGACAATTTTAATGCAAAATTTGCATTAAAAGTCCATTAAAAGTATCAACTTTGCATTAAAAGTGTCATTACTTTTCGAATGACTACTGAATACCTTTGCCAGTTACGGTACTTTATGGTGGATGTAGTACCTTGGGTGGGTGTCCGGGGGAGGTGGTGGTGGCCTTGTAGTAGTGGAAGACCACCAGGATCAGCAGCCAGTGGCCGCAGCAGAGATGCCAGGCGATCCAGTGAGCGGGGTACGAGGAGAAGATGGTTGGTAAGACAAACAGGTAGACAATGATGACCACAGAGGACGTCAGCAGGACCACCAGGCACACAAACACCTGGAGGGGTACGGGGGGAAAGAGAGATGCTGAAGAGAAACCAGAGCAGAGTCAGGGCCAGTCGGTTGGAACAGAGAGCTCACCACTCCAAACCACCGGGTGACGTTGTCCACGATCCAGTAGACTGGCTCGAACGCGCAGTCCAGCAGCGTGTCCGAGTTGGTGAGGCTGTTGTAGTAAAGGGAGCGAAGCAGCAGCTTGCCGTACCTCCACGCCGCTGTCAACCTGACCCCGACCCGACCTCCTCCTTCCTGCGGGCGGCAAAGCCGGCGCAAGCGCAGCGCCAGCCGCATGGCCCGGGACAGCTGCCACCTCCAGCTGCTGCCCAGACGCATGCCACCGCCGGCCACTCGCCTCCGGAACACTCTGCCCTGCAAGCACACGCACGCGCACAGACACATGGACCAGCAGTGAGAAACGCAGGCCGTGTAAAACAGGAGCTCGTCGTACTGGAGCCAGACGGCCACCGAGTTCTCCATCGTCTTCCTCAGGTAGAGAGCGGACGTCCAACAGGAAGACTTGCGGTCGGTGAGGGAGGACAGTTTCCTAGAGAATCTAATGGCACCTTTCACTCACAGCTAATGGAAAACGAAGTGATCAAGTGCAAAGGGACACCTGTCAGCCCCCAGAAACCAACGTCTCCTTTGAATAATTCAGGACCGGGCCAGATCCGCGCCAATTAAGAGGTCCAAGAAATTAGGAGGGGAGAAGCAGAGCGGTAACCCTGTAAGGAGGGTATGAGAGGGGGGAGGAGGGAATGCAAGACGATGAAAGGGTCCGGAAGGACATAAAGTGGCTACATGATCCTGAGGCGACATTTCATCAAGCTGAGTACTGCTCCCTCTGATGGTGCTTACAAAATTACAACTGGCACCGAGACAGAGCCTCCTAAAAGTACTAACAGCCTGGGAAGAACCAGCCTCTTGTTCTACACTGCGGCGGTTCTGGACTTATTGGAAAATGATTGCTTCCCAGAGGACTTAACTCCTTTGAAGTTTGAAACAATTTGATCTGATTTTACACAATCGCAAACATTTGGCAGTGATGTTTGAACAGTTTCAGCTCGATGGAGCTTATGGAAATGCTGTGGGTCGTAAAACTGCATGGGTGGTACAGCTATGACATCTTTACAGCCCCTTTGCACCAGCCCTGTTTAGTCCGACTGAATCCAACTCTAATACGTTTGCCGAGAAAGTCCAGTCAGTTTGGGGTGGGAAGTTCTGGTCCGCCTACAAACCTAGATCTCAGTTTGGTTGATGTGAACTCTGGACCAGTTCAAATGCCAATGCCAAGGCAAATGGACCAGAGACTATTCCAAAAGCAAGGCAAGGGATTCTGGGTAAATATAACCAAAACAAACCCGTGTGTCTGGTGCAAGAGGGCGAAATGGCTCATGGTTTTTAGCCAACAACAAAAGAGAAATCTTACAACCTAAAATCTGACGCCACTCCATTTTTGCTTGTACTTCGTGAAGAAGGAAGTTGTATTCAGTGTCTACTTCAGAGGTTTATGAGTCATTTCCTTGAGCAGTTCTTGGTGCAGCAGCACCATAGGCATGAGGGGAGGGAACAGGATTTTCAAAAGGTTTGGGATGTTTGATACAGTACAGTGTGAAAGAGAATCTCACCAACTGAAAATGTAGTGCTGCCATTTTGGTTCCCAATTGAACAGAGTCTACCGGACTATCAGATGTGAAAACATTCATTTGAACCACATACTATAGCCTTATATAGGCAGACTACAATTCTAAAACAGCTGCCTTCTATTCGCTAACTGGCCTGGTTGAAACTCAACCAGAGAAATCGAACTCAATGGGAGAAATTCCACACAGAACGCTGCAGGGAGATGAGAATCGAGCGGAATTGCGTAGGAATGCAATGGCCCGTTAAATTCACACACAGTTTGTTGTGTTACAGCCAAAAACTCTAGCGTGTTTTGTGCAATATATCAACACCAAGCAGTAGACAACTGATGTGGGAGAACAACAGAGTGTTTTACAATTCAATATCTGAAAAGTCTTGTGTGTGTTTGTATTCAGCACAATGAGTCAACTCTTTCACGTGTGCTTCTCCTTCCGCTTCACAAATATTTGCCACTTTGTGTTGCTCCCTCACATAAATTCCCAATAAAATCCACTAAAGTCTGTGGTTCTAACGTGTCGTAGTGATGGACGCCAACAGGAAGAGAGTAAAGTCAGGCTATTTGGTCGGTTCAGACAATTAAAAACGATGGAAGTGCATGAAAACATGAGGTCAAGTGAGGTCGAAGGGTACCACTTTTTTCAGTGACCACCAGGTCTTTCCCCTTTAGAGATGGATGATGATGGAACGGTTTTCGACATAAATAAGTGAGAGATAAACATGAGGACATACAGAGCGACAGGTCTGCACAGATGGGATTTCAGCTGACTGGGAAGAAAAAAAAGGTGTTTAAAAGTCAGATTATTCATGTAGTGAACCTGACAGGAAGAAGGGACAGAATCATGTCGGAGCAGAATCTCTATGGTAACCGATGTCCCCAATCTGCTCTGAGATGGGAGGCGGGCCAGCACTTCACTGTGTTTCACCGTAATAAGCTTTACTCCGTCCTCTAATGGAGGATGCCATTTTCAGTCCTCAAATTTCATGATCCACACTGTATAGAAACCTGATCCATCCCCCCTCCCCGCAAGCAGAAGCTGCAGAGTTTTCACTGCTAACGAGTTGGGACTTGCTTTCTCTTCTCCTCCGAATGTTTATCATTTCTTCAAATATTTATTTTTACACACACGGATTCATTCGCAGATAATATTTGACTTTTTTTTCTCGAAAGTGACACCAACAGCCTCTTACTCATTTTGGCTCTTTTTGCCACCTAATCTGGACTTCTACTAGCAGAACAGTCATAGATATATCTCTGCTGCTATGGTAATGGCTCAGGTCAATGCTTCTGAAATGTTTTAATCCACTAAACTAATTGGACATATATTATATTATAGGTATAAATAAATTATTTCTCAGTCATTTATTTGCGTAGTTACGCATATTTATTTTATATTTGCGTGTTTGCTAAACAGTTGTGATGAGAAATGTAAATACACAATGCTAACTCAACATTAGCACCACACAAAGACATTAACCATCAGAACTCCAACTAGGCCAGACTTTAGAGGGGCAGTAGTCCAGGGCTACAATTTCTGGGGATGTCCCGAAATATTTTTATTCTATTTGGTCATTTGTTTTCTTTCACCTTTTTTTTTTTCCATCATTAGATTTGGGGAATTTGTTTGGGATGTGACTCTGAAGTTATCAAAACCAAAATGTTGAATGTGAAATTAAACTGTTTAATGTTATTTATGTCATTATTTTCTAGTTTAAATTAAACGCAATACAACTGACTGGACACCCTGTGATTTTTTTTCGTTTTGGTAAATTTATAGAAACATAGAAAATATTTATTTTCTATTGTTTATCGTCATGCTTATGCATTTCTGTCAATATTTAAACAGTGTATTACCCTTCAAAGTCACAACCTTAGACCAATATCACGCTTTGTAGCACCATAAAGAGAATAACACATTCATAAAGCTAATGTTAGGGTCAAAATTATGTGCTTTCTCTGAGCAGTGTAACGCTGTATGAAGCCAGAAACCGCCACAGAAAACCCAAGTTAAGGTCATTTTACCTTCTGACTTGTATAATCTCGTTAACCACGGGCATTCCTCCAATTAGTTACAGCTGTATTACATTAGCAGACTAGCTAACCTCTAGCATCCCCCACCTTTGTTAAGTGTTCAGTTAACGATAACAATAATCCACTTTCAAAGACATAGATTAGCAACGGAGGAGTTTACCTGCTCAGAAGAACTATGTAGGCAAGTGATGAAATTGTTGTCAAGTCATGGTTTCACTAATCAAGTGACCTACAAGAATTTCACTGACTACAGAAAGACCGACAGTACAAAGCGGTGAGATTGACGAAGTTCGTCTTTTAAGCAGATGTCTCACTAACATATAGAAAAAGTAGAACTTCCTTGTGTTAAGGAGGAGACATAAAATTAGATAAATATTGAGTTAATTTTTAAACTAAACACTACCAACAGCTGCATTATAAAATAGTTAAATACACAAAATTGAGATTAATCGGTGTAAAATTAGTTAAAGTGAGACCTCTCTCTTTATTTTTATCTTTTTTCCTGACGGAGCTGCGTTTCAGGTGTATTCGGAACTGGGAAATCCAGGGACAAAAACAGGAACCTGGGAAACGTCCCCCGAAGTCGGATTTCCCACTGGGGACTTGGGAGCGACTCCGACTACACTCAGTTTAAGACTTATAAAGCCAACTTACAATAGTAAAAAGTGGTGAAAACATGTTTATTTTACAAGACACATGTGTAAGCGTGCTTCTAAAGTCAATGTTACATGTCCCACCTGCAAATCTAAACTAAACATTTTAACTGGTGTTTGCTTGTGGAAAGCAAAGCTTAAAATTATGTCCGTAAGAGGTACTGCCAACAATGTCTATGCGCATCACCATGTTGAAATCCCGACTTCTTTTTCGACTATCTCGAATGCATCTCCGGCTTCCGAGGTAACTGGAACTCAGCATCAGAAGCACACAATGTATCATGGGAAATGAAGTCACATTTGCAAGTGCAATATTTTTTAAAACATCTCCTAGCTCTAGTAAACGATGCATTGAATTAAGTTTTGAGCCATTGTTTACTGTAACTTTAGCTCTGACAAAGTAGCAACAATGACAATGACATCAGCGCAAAAATTTAAAGATAAAAAACCACCTCGTCACCAAATTACAGCCTGAATCAGGAAGTCCAGAAGTGTCATGTGATATGAAAAAAAAAATGGCTTCGGTGCAGTGGTAAGATGCTTTTTCTCATTCTAAAACATGTAGCTATGAAAACCGAACTGTTAAACTAGTCGTGTATTTTAATATGCGACGTTTAAGTATGCATATATTGCATTTAACTTGTAGCTGTGTATTTTTAACCGTTTTTTCTACAGTTTTTAGCTGTTACTTAGCTAAAGCCATAACATAACAGCCACTAACTTATCGGTTGGAAAAGCTTGTACACACTTTATTTATTTATTTATTTATTTATTTATTTATTTATCTATCTATCTATCTATCTTTCAAGTTGATAGTTTAAAGCAGGACTAATTCAGTAAGCGTTGTGTGCTGGAATTGTAGATAGGTTTTATGAATACATCTCCTGCTTGTTGTGCCAACAGGCGCTCTCGTGGGCGAAACTATGAGGCAGAGCTGCAGAGGTGTCATCCTGAGGGACTTCCTGTCGAGTTCGGAGACTACCATCCCCTCAAGCCTATCATGGTATCACCTGCCTCCTGTTGTCCAGCCTCCACAGTCTGAAACCTGCTGACCCGATTCACAAAATGACCCCTCTCTGTTTCCGTCCAGGTCACAGACACAAAGACCCGCCGTGGAGCTCGCAAAGGCAGCACCTCCTCATCTTCCTCCTCATCCTCCTCAGCACCCGTGGACCCCCTCAGCTCCATGCTGGACGGGACAGACCCCCTGTCCATGTTTGCCGCCACCGAGACATCGGCGGCCGCGTCCCACAGCAGCTCCGTGGGGGTCAGTTCACCAGCTGACCCGGCAGGAGAAAAACAAAGAGAGGGGACGGGTAATTCTGTTCTTTTAAACAGACATGTTGTGCTTCCAGGATCTCGGGAGGAAGAGGAGGGTAAAGGAGGAAGAGGCCCTTGGAGCCGACTTTGAGCCCTGGTCAACGAAACGAGGAGAAATCCTGGCCAGGTTCACCACCACTGAAAAACTGTCCATTGTGAGTCTGACATTTTTTCAGACATGATTGCATGTAGAAGCTTATTGGACTTTGTCACACACTGCCACGGCAACGGTTTAAAGTTAAAACCTAAAGGCTTCTGTGTTTCTCTTTGCAGAATCTCTGTATGGGCTCTGACAGAGGTAAGACCACTTGTTTTGGATCTAGTTATTCTTTTTATTTATTTTCTTATTATTATACTTGGTTATACTATTATACTATATATATTTGAATGAGTGTGTAAACAGGTGTCCCGTTTCAGTGGAGAGCTGACAAATCCGTTTTGTCCACCAGGAAAAGCTCCCAATCCAGGATCGTCGGCCGTTTCAGAGAAAGTCCGCACTCGCCTGGAGGAGCTGGACGATTTGGAGGAGGTGCATCACTTGTGGTGACTACATGTTAACAATCGTCACTGGATTGGAGCAGGTGTGTGACAGCTTGGTGTGTATGTGTGTGTGTGTGTTAAAGGGTTCCCACAGGGAGCTCCTCAACCTCTCCCAGCAGGATTACGCCAACCGCATCGAGGAGCTCAACCAGTCCCTGAAGGAGGCCTGGTCCTCCGACCAGAAGGTCAAAGCCCTGAAGATCGTCATCCAGGTAACAACACACACACACACACACACACACACACACACACACACACTCCTCCTTACTCTTCGGGGTCAACCACACTGACCTGTGAGATGCGTTCCAGTGCTCCAAACTTCTGTCCGACACGTCTGTGATCCAGTTCTACCCCAGCAAGTTCGTCCTCATCACCGACATCCTCGACACTTTCGGTGCGTTCACTTCCTGTCAGCTGCTGCTGCTGTTGTCGAGCTGTTACATCATGTTGTATATGTGTGTGTTGTAGGCCGTCTGGTGTATGACAGGATCTGGACCATGTGTTCAGACCCCAGACCTCTGCCGGGTAAGTCTGGACATGTTTCCATTTCTGTCACATTAAAGCCTCCAACTTCAGTTTACTTCACTGGGGTTTTATACTCTGGATCAATATGAATTAGAATCCTAAAAGTGTGGCATGCCTCTGAATTCAGAACCCTTTACGTTGATGGCACTTAATGACATCTAGAGCCTCAGTAGGTAAAGTCAGGGAGTTTCTCACTCTCTCTCTCAGACTCCTTCACAGTAGAAGATGTGAACGACACGGCGAAGGAGACGTGCCTCAACTGGTTCTTCAAGATCGCCTCCATCAGGGAGCTGCTGCCCCGACTGTATCCACCAGCAGATGTTTGAGTTCTGGAACCAAAGCTCTGAGTCAGGGTGGAAGAGTTCCTGTGTGGGGTTTGAGGACGGATGTGCAGAAGGCTCCACATCTGGGCTTATGTAACGATTGTGTTTGGTCAGCGTTTGGAAGCTGAAGTTGACTCTTTAACCTCTGACCTCAGATATGTGGAAGCTGCTATCCTCAAGTGCAACCGTTTCCTCAGCAAGTCGTAAGTCTCCTCCAACACCGTTTTCCTTTCTGAGGACTGTCCACAAACTGACTCACGGTTCACCTCTTTGTAGAGGAATCCAGGAGACCCTTCCCCGGCTGACTGCCATGATCCGTGGGATGGGAGACCCTCTGGTTGCCGCCTACGCCAGAGCTTACCTCTGCAGGGTGAGTCACCCTCTCCTCCTCCTCCCCCGGCCGTCCTGCGGCTCAGACCTGACGCCCCTTCCGATCCCCAGGTGGGCATGGAGGTGGCGCCCCACCTGAAGGAGAGTCTGAACGCCAACATCTTCGATCTGCTCACCACCTTCAGGCAGATCAGCGGTGACAGCGTCCAGAAGCAGCTGCACTTGCAGAAGGTGGAGGTGCCGGCGTACCTGATGCTCTACTCGCCCGCCATCAACTGGATCCTGCAGTGCGTCGCGTACAGAGCTCCGGAGGTAAACGCCTGTCCGCTGGGCTCAGCCCAAACGGGCATCAGCTGAATGAAAGTCTAACTGTTATCCCATCGCTGTTTCCACATCAGCCACTTCTCACAGAGATGATGGAGAGATGCAAGATGATGGCAAATAAGTGAGTAGACCGAGCAGAAAGGGGCGGGACATTGTGGACTTAGAGTTTCATCATGATGATGTTTTGTGGTACTATTGGGATAATGATAAAAGTAACAATAAGAACTATGTGCTCTTCCAAAACACATGTGTGATTTGTATCACTAAACTGCACACAGTAAAGAATTTAATCATATTTTCATATGTATTGATAGCAGCTGCACTTTAATTAAAGATCAGTGCAAAACTTTGTTGATATTCCGCTAATGTAAAAAAAAATACAATCTCACAATTCTTGTGCTTCCATTAAATAATAACCGTAATTAATATCACGTGAATAAGTTTGTTCACATGATAAGTTATTAAAAAACATGCCGCTTCATTATCCTCCAACTACTACTTCCTGTCTTCTTCTTCATGTTTTGAGCCAACATCCGGTTGTGGATCACGACTCGTGATGTGAAAAAAGGGTTTCCATTGCAATTTTGCGAAATTAACCAATTTTGATCAAATAAATCCACCTCACCCTAGCGCCAAAACGCT